CTGGGTGGGTGGGCTGGATGGGTCTTGGCGGAGAGCGCTCGCATGTTTGCGTTCTGTCTCTCAGTCACTCGGCAGCTCTTTGGGTTTTGTTAGGGCTTTATTGCATGCTTGGGGCTGACTGCTCTCAGCTGGTTAGGAGTGGCCCTGGCTGAGACAACTGGGACAACAACTCTGCTCCATGTGTCTCGGCCTCCAGGAGGTCAGCCTGGGCATGTTCTTTCTTGGGCAATCGCAGGGAATCAAGACAGCGGCAGATACATGCAAAGGGCTCTCTCAAGCCTCTGCTTATATCATGTTTGTTTATATCCCGTTGGTCAAAGCAAGTCACATGGCCAAGCCCAGAGTCAGAAAGAGCGGGGACTACACAAGTTGTAGGGTAAATAGTGTAGATATAGGGAGGCAAGTAATACAACTAGTCTACCCTAATGGCTTAGATAAAATGGAGGTTTATTTCTCTTATGTGTAAAGGATGTCGCAAGACAGGAGTTCAGACAGCTCCATGGAGTCATCAGGGATCTAGGCTTCTCAGCACACAGCTTCTTGTCCTTATGGGCCAAAACGGCTGCAAGAGCTCCAGCTATCACTTCCATGTCCCAGGCAGCAGGATGGAAGAAGGAGAGTGACAAGGGTAGGACTCCTCCCTTTGAAAGAGACTTCCTAGAAGTGCCACATTTCAGCTTCTATGATAGGCAAGCACATTGTAATACGGCCACTTTTAGCCGCCAGAGTTTTGGGAAAATATAGTCTTTTTGTTTGGGCACAAGGTGCTGAGCTAAGAACCAGGGTTTTGTTAATTTGAGAAAGAAAGAGTGGATACTTGGTGGGCAGTGATAGTGCCTGCCACATCCCAATTTATAGCTGAGGAACTTGGGCTCAGACAGAGAAGTAACTTGCCTGAGGTCACACAATCACCTGCCACAGGAGAGCTGGGATCCGAACCCTGAATGCTGCCTCTTCTCCCCTGCACCACCATCACTACCACCATCCAAGAGCCTTAGCTGAACATTCGGCTACTCACACTGCTGTCTGAGAGTCTGAGTGGCCCAGACAGCTACACGTGGCTGACACCCCCTGACCCCTTACTCTGAGCCAAGTTCTTTATATTCAGGTCTTTATTTAACCTCCCAACATCCCTGCCATTGTCCCCATTCTACAGAGGAGAAACTGAGGCACAGAGGGGTGCGGTAGGTTGTCTGGGCTACCTGATTTGAGGCCCAGGCTCCTGCCATCTTGCTAATCCAGGTCCCGGGTAGGACTGGGTTCCTCCAGGTAGCAACAGGTGGGATCGGGGCAGTTCAGCAGCGCACTGGAAGGTGGGTGATTAGACGTGTCCACAGCACCAAGCGCAGGGCCTGGCCTCGGCCTGCTCACATCCCGCTTGTAGATAATGCCAGGTAATCAGGAAGAGAAAAAACCAACCTGGTCCCAACCCGATCCCGACCCCAGCCCTGCTGCCTGTGAGGCACAGTGGGCAAGAGGCTTCAGTCACTCACTTTCCTCGTCTGTACAGCGAGGTGCTTAACTCCTACTCCATCTGCTTGTGTGGCAGCCGCTAGGTGCTGCTGAATCCACGCTGAATTGAGGGAAGAATGAATGACCAGATGAACAGCCACCCTAGACGGGATCTTTTCTCAGGTTCAAGGAAAAAATATAAGACCTCCTGGACCCATCTTTTGTTTTTGTTTTTTTGTCCCAAAATGTGTTCCAGAGATGACTGGTTCCAAAAGACATTAATAACTATTATGTGAAAAAAGGGTTCTGAAGCCAAATGAGACAGACTGCCAGGTGAAACCAGGTTAGCTAGGTTTCTCCCCTGCAGGACATCTCAGAGCCTTGAATAAAGGAATGTACAGTGTGAGTCTCACAAGCAGGGATCTAGAACTCTGTGTATCTCAAACTTTCTTGGCCATAGAACACCTTTTCTCCATAGAAAAGTGCCACCCTAGCACCAGTTCTCAGCTTTGCCTTTTTTCCGTCTCACACAACTCTAAGAGCTTTGGTCCAATCAGGAAGAAACCAAGGCTCATTTTCTGGAAGAGTTTTATTTGTGGAAATTCTGTTGTGAGAATTATGATCAGGTCACCCAGAATTACAATTGGATCATTGGGAGTTAACTGCATTGCTACAGGTTTAAGAAACAGCTATCCTATTATCAACGCGAAATTCTAGAGGTCCTGTCTCGGGTAAAGTATTCCTGCAGCAGACCCTGGAGAATGCGAGCACAGCAATAAACAACTGATGTGGTATTGCAGGCTGGCAGGTCAACAAGAAGCCCCATGTCACAGCAGCAGGTCAGATCGCAGGTGGGCACAGGGGTCGAGGGAGAGCAGATTGTTAGTGACTGTCATATAGCCAAGCTGTCTTCCTCTGGCTACTCCCTGAAGCCATTGCTCCAGGGTCCAGCCCAAAGGTCAGTGGACTCAGCCAGGTTCCTCAAAGGGCTAGAAAAGGTGAGAGCCTGCTTTTCCCTCCTTCCTACTATCAACCAAGCACCTACTCTGAGCCACACACTGTTCCAGGCTCTAGGAATAAAGGATTGAATAAAAGAGACAAGGTCCCTGCCCTCAGATGATGCTAATGCTATAAAGAAAAAGAGGGCATGAGATGGTGAGTGACTGGGGTAGTCAGGTGGGGAGGGGAAGTCACGGAGGGCCTCTCTGAGGAGGCAGCAGTTTAGCTGAGACCTGAATGAAGAAGAGCTGGCCCTGGAAGATTTGGAGGAAGAGGTTACCAGGCAGAAACACCATGAGGCGAAGATCCCGAGAAAGGAATGACCTTGGTATGACTGGGGACAGAAAGGCAGCCCGTGTGGATGGTGTTTGGGAGCAGGCGGTGAGTGGCAGGAGGTGGCAGGCACCAGGCAGGTGGGCCATGTGCAGCATCTGTGTTCTAGTCCAGGTGCAGTGGGAAGCCACTGAAGACTGTCAGCGGGAGAGAAGATGTCAGAGAGGCAGCGGGATCTGAGATCTGGGACTGGCGTCTCACACTGCCCAATGCCAAGTGACTTCCCACTCCCTCTAAGCTCATGGGGTCTTCTGCCTGGTGAAAGAGTCAAGGCTGAGTGTAGGGGTCTCCATTCCTCAGAGTTCAGGGCTATGGAGGCAAAGCTGAGCAGGGCCCCCAAACTCATCTCCTGCGGTAGCCAGGGTCATAGGCCTCCAGACTTCCTGCCTGTCAAAGGGTCCTAGTCCCAGAAGGCCCTCAGAGACCACCTTGGTCAACCCCTTCATGCCCTGAGGGGGAAACGGAGGCACACACAGAAGCCTGCTTCCCCAGGTCTCAGCTAATGAAGGGAATGGATGCTCCCCCAGGGCCCCTGACCACCTGCTCTAGGCAAGCAGGCCCCGCCTGGTGGCCTCCCCCCTGCCCCTCTCAGCCAAAAGCCTCTTTTGTGCTTGCTCCCTGGGGCTCCATCTCCTTGCAGGGGTCACAGGACATCACTGACCCCATCCCCCTGTCAGCGTGCCCGGCTGGTAATTGAAAATACCAGAATTCCCCGAAGACCAACTTCAGGGAAACCTGACACCCCAGGGTGGGCAGCGGGCGGCAGGGGGGATGAGAGAACATCCAGCTGTTCCCTTTCTCGCAGTTAATCCCCCCGGATTCCAGGAGAAAGGCAGCCCTGCTCGGCCCCCCCTTGGCCCGCCGTTGCCGCCCCCTTGCCACACCCAGGGACACGGGGCTTACAGGATCAGAGCGCGTTAGCTGCCTGTAACCCAAGTCGGCCGGCTAAGCCCGCAGGCCCGGACCCCCACAGCCGGGCGGGACCTGCCTCCACCAACAGCTGAGCTCCCGGGGCCCGCGCAGGCTGGGTGGGTGGTAGGTGGGGTGAGTCAGCACAAGCCTGGTGAAGTTAGCTTTGCAGCGACATCACAGCATCTGGACCAGGGCGCCGCCAGAGGCCCTCCCTGGTCGGCCTGCATCGGACGTAGCCACTCGAGGGGAAAGGATATGTTGGGCCCAGGTGGGCCTGGATTCAAATTCCAGCTCCACTGCCTGCGAACTGGGTGATTTGGGGCAAGTGACTTCACACCTCCGTGCCTCCATTTCCATAACCATAAAATGGGTATGATAATAACAGTCTCATGGGGTTGATATAACAGTTAAATGAGTTAACTGACCTAAAGCATTTGGAAAAGTACCAGGCATAGAAAGAACAAAGACGTGTTAGGCGTTAGCTAAGAGATTTTATTTTATTTTTTGCTGGGCATCATTTGACATACAGGGGTTGTCACGATGACAAGCTTGATGCAGCTTTTGTTTTAGTGGAGGAGCAGGTTTCTATCCCTACTGCAGTCCGTCTGTGGCTCCCCAGTGCCTCAGAACAGGGCAGGCTCCTAGGCCTGGAGGTCTGGCCCCACATGCTCTGCAGCCTCGGCCCTGCGCCTCTTGGAACTACTTGTACCTCTGCTTCAAGACTGTCTGAACCTGAGGGCCCAGGGACAGGTTAGGCTGGGCAATGAGAGGGGCAATCCTGGGCAGAGGCCAGGCTGTGAGAAAATATACTGGACCAGCTGGTCTGGGCTCTAGTCCTGGCCCCACCTCTACCTGCTAGGTGACCTTGGACAAGTCACCTCCCTTCTCTGGCCCTGAATCTACTCTTCCCGGTGGGGTCCACAGGCCAGCAGCATCAGCAGCACCTGGAGCTTGTTAGAACTGCAGAGCCTCAGGCCCCACCCCAGACCCGTGGAATCACAATCTCTGGGCGGTGATGCCCAGCAATGTGAGTCTTGGTACATTCTACCACTCTTCCTCGTTGGGAAGGTGAATCACAGGGAAGGAGGTAAAGGGAGGAACCGTGTCCCTTCTTGGGACTAGATCACCTTGGCTGAGCCCTACAAGGGGGGCACCTGTGGCCCTGCACCAGCCCCTCTGCACCCTGTCGGGTGTGTGATGCTCCTCTCTGGTCCCACAGCTCTCTCTGGGCACCTCTGAGGTTGGACTAGAAGGTGTACCATGTCATGCCCACCCCAACCCCTGACCTCTGACCTCTCTTCCAGCTCCATCGGCTGTGTCCATCATGCACCAGGTGAGCCGCACCGTGGACAGCATCACCCTGTCGTGGTCCCAGCCCGACCAGCCCAACGGTGTCATCCTGGACTATGAGCTTCAGTACTATGAGAAGGTACCTACGCTCATGGCACTGTCCCCACCCCTGCCTCCCTGGTGGCCCCTCCCAGGCTGGGGCCTGGGGTCCCACACCATGAAGCAGAAAGAGTGGTGGCCTCAGAGTTAGCTGGCTGGAATTGTGGCTTCGCTCCCCCCTGGCTGTGAGGCCTCAGGCAGGCGCCTTGACTTCTCTGAGTCTTGCTTTTCTGGTCTGGGGGACCAAGTCAACAGTCTCAGTAACATACAATGATCACAGCCCTTTCCCCACCAAGGTCCCTTCATCTTGACCTCAGCTGTCCTGAAATTCTGAAGAACTGGATTTCCAAAAAGCTGCGTTTATTAAGCAGTAATTGCTCCTTCACCCTTCCGAAGCAAACTGCCCTTTCTAGAGAGTTTCTACAGAGAGTGGAGCCTCCTCCCGTCTTGTCCTGATTACAGCAAGAACACTGGTTTTCCTTTGCCTGAGTGCCCTTTGTATGGAGATAGAGGGCTTTCTTTTTGAGCCTGTAAATTGGACCCTTGTGACTTCCTTCAGGGGTCTATAGGAGCCAGGCATCCAGCGTTGGAAGCTACTAGTGTAGCAAGAGGAGCATTGGACTAGAAGTGAGAAGCCGTAGGTTCACATCCCAGCTCCATCCATAGCCCGCTGTGTGACCTTGGGCAGGCATCTTTCTCTTTCTGAGCCTCAGTTTCCTCCTGTGTCAAGGGTGAATGAAACCACCTCTCTCATATGGGAGCTTTGCGGGTCAAAGAGAAAAAGCAGGTACAGTGCCCAGTCAGGCAGGACACTCTCTTTTGACTGGTGACTTTTCTTACTTGCTCCCTGAGGCACCAACCAGCCACAGAGGCTGCAGGGGCCCCTGGGAAATGTTTCACCAGGCTCCCTTTCAGACTAAGGTGTAAATGACTATGGGAAGTGCTTTAGTTGAGACCGAGCCCACTGGGAATGGTGACGGATGGAAAGGCTCTCCCTAAGGACTGAGAGGACATGAGGTGGAGACAGTGCCAGCCAGCCCTGCTGGAGCTCTGCCTCCTGAGGCCCAGCCTGGCCCTCTCACTCTGTTAGCTGCTGGATCACCCAAACTCTGGCGAGTCTCAGGGGTTCATCCAACACCTCTCCAGCCTTACCCAGCTCGTGTACGATTGTTTCCTTGCTCATCCCCTCCTCTTGGCCATGCATTCCTAGAGGCCAGGGACCACATCCTCCTTTCACCGCATTATCCCGGCACCCTGGGTCTGGCACCAAAGACACTTGATAAATGTTGTTTGAATGAATAAGTGATGAATCCCTTCCCACAGCCTGTTCTTCAAGGATGGAGACCTTGCCTTTTCTCTGCTGTGTCCCCAGGGGGTGATGTGAGGGACGCAGCCCCACCCCTTGCTGGGCCCTGGAGGCCCTTGAAGGAGCCGGGCATCCCAGGTAGCGAGACCAGCTGCTCCCAGGCCCAGGAAGCCCCAGGGGAAGCCCCAGGCCCTGCAGGAGCAATCATGTCCACTTCCTCTGGCTGGAAAGCTTAGCAACTCAGAATCCAAAAAGGAAAAAAACTAATTAAGAAGCTTTGTGATTAAATGAAACTGAAAGTGTTTGTCCCCAAAGACAGGATCGGAAATGAGGAATCCCGGCATAGGTCCTGCCCACGACCCATTTCCTACCCGGACGGGAGGGGCTGGGGAGGCTGATGGAGGTGTGAACCAGGAGGCAGCTCTGCCCTACTTTCTGCCACTGCCTGGGCATCCCCAGGCTCATGCCAGGGGTGACAGGACCAACAGGCCATGCAGCAGCCACAGTTATCACCTACTCATGTTTCATGAGTGCTCACTATGTGCTAAGCACATCACTTCCATTGTCTCATTCATTTCCTTAGCATTGCTATTCACCCCATTGGGCAGGAGGGAAAACTGAGGCACCGAGAAGCTGTGTCACTTGTCCAAGAGCACCCAGCTGCTAAGTGGCAGAGCAGGGATTTGGACCTGTGCTTATACTCTTCGCCTGGCTCTCCTGCCCCCCCAGTTTTCTCCCAGGGACCCTTCTGGGGTAACCTTTAAGAGGTGGACAAGACCAGGCTCTGGTGAAGGATTTTCAGCATAAATGGCAAGAGATGGACAGGCCTGAGGTATGGCTGTAATGAGACATGGCCCTGCTCCTATCAGCCCCTCTTGCCAGGCCTGTCTCATCACAGCCATACTCGAAGCCTGTCCATCTCTTGCCAGGAAAGGGTGCTGGTCAACTCCCTGTAGATGGTGGTGCCTTTTCCTGGGGCAGATGTGGGTCTGTGATTTGCAGGTGTTGGGGTGGTGCCTGCCGGAAGTGGGAGGTGTAGCCAAGAACAGACAGGAGAGTGTGCAGAGGAAGAGTAGGCTAGAAGGACAAACCGGGAGAATGGCAGGATTTAAGGAGAGGAAGAAAGGGAGTTGGTGGAAGTGTCGGAGGAAACGCCAGCAGAGGGGTAGCAGGAGAACCAGGAGCTTTGCCCCTGACCTCTCAAGTGAGGCTGACAGCCCAGCTCCCACCTCTAGCTTCCTGAGTCAGTCCCGCCATCGGGGAGGGACAGCCAGGCTGCAAGTGGTGAGATTTATTTCCAACAAGGCCACAGCCCACTCTTACCTGACACTTCAGAATCCTCCCAGTGCCCGCAGTTGATTTTTTTAATGAAAGCTCTAGATCTTCCCAGGCAGGGAAGTTAGATACTGAGCCTGGCAGCCCATGTGGGCCCCTCCTCTGCCTCCTTCCCTGCTTTCCTTTCCTTCTTTAGAAAGGGCTCTTTTGGAGCGGGCTCTCCATTTGGCCTCTCCTCAGCTTCACTGGGATTTCCCAGCCTGCCAGGAGCCTGGAGCCCGGAGCCCACAGCCTGGAGACCAGAGCCCAGAGTCCGGAGCCCGGAGCCCAGAGCCCAGAGCTGACAATCACTTCGCTGGAAGTCTTCTAGAGGCCACTGAAGAGTGGTGTCAGCCATTCCAGGGCTGGTCTTTTCCGCCGGTTCCAGTGTCCTCCTTTGGCCACTGCCCAAAAGCACACGGGTTCATGCTCCCTTTGGCTCCCCAAGAGCTCAAGGAGAAGAGTCATTTGTGAGGCCGCCTGTGGTGGATGGGCCCTTGTGGTGGATGGGCCCTTGTAAGCCACATCGATTTATGTATCTATTCAACAGAAATCTCTACTTTGCAGAAGTGAAGGGAAAGGACATTCCTGGCAGAGGGAGCCTAGGTTGGGGGAGGAGGGAGTGAATGAAAGTCCAGGCTGCATGCCGGTGTTGCCCAGTGCGCGTGGAGCAGTATCTACATGGGGAGGTTCCAGTGTCCCCAGGGAGGTGGCCTTCTGGCCCGTTCATTCATTTGTGTATTCGTTCATCCATTTAATGAACATTGGTGATGATGACGATGATGGCTGACGCTTATTAAGTCCTTACATGTGCTAGAGTCTATGCTAAAAGCTTTCCTCGTCATTTCCTATTGAATCTCTACAGCCGCCGTGTGTAGCATATAGTGGTGTCATCCCATTTTAGGGATGAGAAAACTGAGTTCGTAGGGCTTAAGCAGTGCACCCACTGCCTCATTGACTCCTAGTCTCTGGGTAAGGACTCAAACTAAGAACTAGTGGATTCCACACTAAATCCCTGCCCCTGACCTGCTGGTGCTTGACCCTTACTCAGATAAGGGTGCTCTTGGTGGGGGGAGGGGGGCGGGAAGGACATTGATGGCTCTAGATCAGCTCCTTTGTGCCCGGGACTAACTGATCAAATTTTATCTTCAGCACAACCCTGAGCGGTTAGAATTTATTGTTCCATTTCCTGGGATAGAAAACAGGGCTCAGGGAAATGGTCTTCCCCAAAATCACAATGCAAGCAAGAGGAAGAACTGGCATCTGAAATGACTTCCAATCCCCTGCTGGGTCCTGTGCCCCACGTTAGAGAAGGGATCCACTCAGGTGGACTCTTCATTCTCCTGAGGCACCTATGCCACTGGCGGTTGCCTCCCATCTCCTGTGTATAATCAGGAACTTAAAACTTCCAGCCTGAGGGGGCACCCAGCCAGTCTGCAGGATCGATCAATCCCTTTGGCAAACCGAAGCAGATCCCATGTTAGACAGCGACGCTTAGCGGCCAAGCCTGGTAGTGCGTCCTGGGTTCATAGATTGTGAACAGTCAAGCACCTACTGTGTGTGGAGTTTGGGGGGGTCCCGGAGATGAATGAGATAAGGTTCCTGCCCTCAGGAAACCCACGGTCCTTAGAGAATATACAGGTATATCAGAAAAATAGACAATGGACCTGTGACCTCTGGCTGGGGTATCTGGGAAGTCTCCCAGCAGAGGCAGTCTTAGTGCTGGGTCTTGAACAATGAGTAGGGACCTGCCAGGCAGATGAGGAAAGGGTATTTCACATGGGGCAGCAGCACTTGGCAAAGGCTCAGGGTGTCCAGGGAAGGTAAGGCTGCCAAATAAAATATAGGACATCGGGGTTACATTTGAATTTTTAACAATAATTTTATAGCATAAGTATATATCAAAGATTGCTTGGGACATACTTATACTAAAAATTATTCATCTGAAATTCAAATTTAACTGAGCATCCTGTACCTTTATTTGCTAAATCTGGCAGCCCTCCCAGGGAAAGGGGAAGTAGTTACATATGGCTAGAGCCTGGAGGACACTGGGATGTGACAGGAGAGACCGGCAAAGGGTGAGTCACGAAGGGTCTGGAATGCCAGGCCAAGGAGGACAGCCTTCATCCTGTGGGTGTTAGGGAAGGCCTCTGCGTGTTGGACCCTGTGCTTGGGACAAGGGAACAAAACACAGCTCCTTCCCTCAGGAGTTTACAGTCAAGGGAGTAAGACGAGCCTGGGCCCAGGGCAAGGAATGTAGCAGAACCACCCTCCTATGGTACCCTCAGCAAGTGCTCCAAGGCTCAGAGGAGGAGACGCATCTGGCGTGGAGGTCAAGGAGGCTTCCTGGAGGAGGAGGCAGGTGATGTGTCAAAGACAGAGAAACTTCCAGTCTGCTGCTGCTTCCTGGTGTGGGGGGAGGGGAGGAAGCACTCACAGGTCAGCTCCTCTCTAGCCCTCGCATCCCAAGCTCTTTCTCACCTCCTTACCTTTGCACCTGCTGCTCCTTCCCAAGAATGCCCACCCCCTTCTTTGTCTGGGTGACTTGTGTTTTTGTTTAAAATTCCACTCCAGTTGCCCCCACCCTCCAGGGAACTTTCCTTGACTTCACCGGATATCCCCTACCCAGGCCAGGTCATGTGCCCCTCAACTCATTGTGCTTCCCCTACCCTTGTAAACATTTTATGCAAATGAATTCACTTTGCCCTCCAAACAATTCTTAAAGGTAGCTATTATTATTATTATTATTATTATTATTATTATTATTATCATCCCCATTTTACAGATGAAGACCAGGAGGCATAGGAAAATTAAGGAACTCCTCCAAGGTCACAAATGTAATAAGCAGTAGAAGGACTTGAACCCAGGAAGTCTGGCTCCAGTTGGTGATCTTAACCTCTACACTATAACATTGTAGTTACAATTATCACCTGTAATAACATTGCTCACACTCATTTAGTTGTTTCAGGAGAGTGTTCATGGGCTCTGTGCATCCCTGATGTGTGCATGATTGGCATGTACAAGCAGGTGTGTGCTTTTCATTTGCTTCTCAAAGGGTTAAGTTCTCCACGCTGTTTGCTTTTCTGAACTGGGCTCTCCGAGACCAGGGCCTGTGCTTTAACCTCTGTGGGTCTCCAGTGCCCAGCCCAAGGCCTAATGCAAAGGGTGTATTTGGGGAAGGTTAGCTGAGCAGCTGACAGATGCCTGAATGAGCATCTAGGCAGGTAAAAAAAATTTGCATCTAATTCAACCATATCTCCACCCTTGCTGCAGCAGCTGGCTCTTTGTCCTGTCCCAGGCTCCTCAGGTTACCCGGCGCAGTGCTCAGGAGCTCAGAATTGGCATTCTGCATCTCTCAAAGAAGGGAGCATTAGGTCCTGGGTGCCCAAAGACATGAACATTAGAGGTGGCTCCTGTGTGGTTTTGAGTCCCAAGGCAGCCATCAACTGATACATGTGACCTTGCGCATAATTTTCCCATTCTGGGTCTTAATTCTTGCCTGACTCGAGTGTGCTAAGGCTAAATGGGGGTCCTTCCACTTAATCTGTCAAGGCATGGGGCAGGAAGGGGGGTGCAGAAGTGAACTATGTGTGCCTTCTCCCTGCTGTCAACAGAACTCACAGGCTAGACCCCAGGCTCTGCACATAGTGACCACTCAGTATATGTGTATTAGTCAGCTGTTGTTGAGATGATGCTGCAAAACAAACAACTCCAAAAATCCAATGACCTACATCAAGTGGCTATTTTTCTTTGTGTCTGTGGGTCAGCTGAGGTGACCCTGTTCCATTCCAGGAGTTAGGTCCAGGTCTTTTCCCCTTGTTTCTCTTTCTGGAACCAGCTGTACCCAGGCCAAGCCCCCCTCATGCAGATGGCAAAATCAGAAGAGGACAAGCCAAATCAACAAGCACATGTAAAGCCCCTGCTTGCATCATGTCCTCTAGCATATTCCAGTGGCCAAAGCAAGTCACATGGATAAACTCAGCACCGATGAGCAGGAGAAATACACTCTGCCTTCTCTTGTGGGAAGTGTTGCAAAATCACATGCAAAGCTGCAGGTGTCATATTCTATTACTGGGAGGGAGTGAAGAATTGGGAACCACGGATGTTCATTGGTGGCCAAACCCGCCCCAAGTGGCAGGAGTGGTCAGCGGGCTCTGGGCCCACTGTGGGCAACAACCTCGCTAACTGTCTTCTCTGTTCCTCGGCAGGAGCTCAGTGAGTACAACGCCACGGCCATAAAAAGCCCCACCAACACGGTCACTGTGCAGGGCCTCAAAGCCGGCGCCATCTATGTCTTCCAGGTGCGGGCACGCACCGTGGCAGGCTACGGGCGCTACAGTGGCAAGATGTACTTCCAGACCATGACAGAAGGTAAGCGGCAGGAGGGCACTGCCTCCACAAACAACAAACTCTTGGGCTGCCATCCCTACAAAGCGCCTTTGTGCAAATTGGAAAAGATGCCTCCACTTCTTGATGTCAGCCTCCCTTCCCTTCTGGCTGGGAACCTGTGTGTGCTGTACAAAGCGCACAACCATATATAAAGGCACTGCTTCTGTGGCCTGCAAAGGACTGTGATACCCCATTACCAGCGTGTCAGCCAGGCCACTTGATTTCCCACGACTCCTGGAAGCTCGGCCCTAACTTGCAGAGTCACTCAGAGCAAATCCCACCTACTCCCTGGTCCAGGTTTTTCGCATCTATAAAATGAAAGCATCATATTCAATCGGAGAGTGCAAACTATTTCGTCCCTACATTACTTCAGTGACTTACAGTTGGAATGAAAAAAATCTGAAGCTACATCTGAGTTTAGCAGGAAGAAGTGCTGGGATGGATTAGTAATGTCTGCCCTGGGCAAGAGAATGAGAGGGTGCATCCCGTGTGTTGTGTGTCTCCCAGCTTGGGACCACATGGTCTCTAAGTACCCTTCCTGCTTTAATAATCTTCGAGGGGCAGCATAGTTAAAGAGTGTGAGCTCTGATGCCTGACAGGTGGAAATTACAGTGGAGATTCAGCCTTAACTGTGTGGCTCTGAGCAACCTACCTTACCTCTCTGAGCCTCAGTTTTTCTCATCTATAAATGGAGATGACAACTATCAGCGTTATAAAAACTAGTATTATGGTGGGGGTAAATGTATAGGACCTAGCACAGGGTTGGTGCTAAGTCTCACGCATAGTTAGAGCACACCCAATAGTAGTTAAGGTTATAGCTGTCATTTCTGTGAGTTCCAGGGCCCCTCCACCAACCAGCCAAGCTCCAGGACAGCTTTACTTATGACCAGGTGCCAGCATCCCTTTTTGGTGCCTGCTTCAGTCCCTGGGAGTGGCCCGTGACTTTGGCATAGACTTGTTTCTTATCACAGTAACCTTCCCTCAAGACGCCATCGTCTCTTCCAGCATCGCCTCCTCTGTCAAATCTCCCTTCCTCACAGCCACTGTTTCTCACCTTTCTCAGCCCTCTTGCATGTTGGATGAGTGTTACTGACATGGGTACTGGAGGACTGTCCCAGGATCCTTTCTCTATTAATTCAGCAAATGTGTGCTGGCGCTAAGGACCCAGAACTGACCTTGTCCCTGATTTTGACAAGCCCATCTGGTTATGAAAGCAAATGGGAATAATAAAATTTAAAACTATGATGATGTTGGTGACATTGAGAATATACTAAGTGGTTTCCAAGAGCCAGGCCAGTGCCAAGTGCATTTTGCACACTATCTCATTTAAGCCACAGCCTCTGGTCAAACACAGCACCTGGGTTCAAGTGCTGGCTTTGGCCACTTTCTAACTGTGTGACCTCAAGCATGTCATGACCTAAGTCTCAGTTTCCCAGTCTGTAAAATAGGGTAACGTAAGCAGTGTATCACTGAGCTGTTCCGAGAATCAAACAAGATATGTAACATATTAGCACAGAGACCAACCCTTAAAACACTCAATAGCAATAATAGTTGATATTTACTAAGTGCTTACTATTGCCATGTGTTGTTCTAAGTGCTTTACAAAACAATCCTATGAAATGAGAAGTGTGATTCTCCCGACTTTATAGATGAGGAAACTGAGCCACAGAGAGGTAAGTCACTTTCCCAGAGATCACACAGATAGTAAGTGGCACCGTCGGGACTCAAACCCAGGGGGTGTGGCCTCAGGGTGTGTTATAACTGCCTCTCCGTATGTATCAGCTTATTGTTGATTTTCACATCAACACTGAGATGTTGATATTATGCCCATTTTATAGATGAGAAATTGAGCAGTTCATGGTTACTTGTGAGCAAATGACAGCCAGTTCTCCACCTGAGCATGTGCCAGGTACTCTGTGAGGAGCAGGAGTACAGCCTGGGATCCCGGGAGGCCCCGCAGGGCGATGGGGTGTTAGGACTCCCAGAGCCAGGCTAAGAAAACAGCGCTGTGCTCTCTCCCCAGCCGAGTACCAGACAAGCATCCAGGAGAAGCTGCCACTCATCATCGGCTCCTCGGCGGCTGCCCTGGTCTTCCTCATTGCCGTGGTTGTCATCGCCATCGTGTGTAACAGGTGGGTGGGTATCCCCTCACCCCTATGGGCCTGGCTGTGCGCCCATTCGGCCATTCCTGAGCAGCGTGTGAACGGAGGAGGCATTTCCATCAGCACCAGGGAGAGGGAGAGGGAGAGGGAGAGGGAGAGGGAGAGG